AAATAAATTTTAAGAAAACTCAAAAAAACTTTTTAAAAATAATTTTAGCAGGCAAATTTGCCTGCTAGATGGTTTAAAAGATAAGTCTTATATTTCAATCAAGTCATTTATTATAAACACTATTATCAATCAATCATCCAATCCCTTGATCCCATTTCTGAATTATTTTAATTTATTCTTCTTTTGTGTATATATTTTTAGTTATTATTATATTATAAATTATACTAAGTTCACCTTCGATCTAAAGATTGATTAGTTAAAGGCAGATTCATATTTCTTTTATATATATAAACCCCAATTTTTGTACATAGTTGGAGTCTCAAATTGGCACTATTTGTCTATAATCATCTTCGCTCTTCCAATACAACCATTACATTTGGTGCCAGTTGTGGGATAAACAAAATATCTCTTCTTGAATTAAATTAGTGTATTGGTTAAAATTGGGCTATTAATTCAACAAATGCAAGCAGCTTTGGCCCCACAGGTTAATTATAATTCTCCTAATCAAGAATTAAGTTTAGTCACTTATCCTGACTTTATGAGTGGGGACCAGGACCCATGACTTGGCTTGATGAGGTCGAAAGACATTTGCTACTAACCTAGTAACTAATAACCACCAAATTCCAGTAATTGTTCCCTATCTAAAGAGTGCAGTGGCAACTTGGTGGGCAACCACATAGCAACCACCAAACCCTATCAATGCTTGAAATAACCTGGCCCACCCAAACATGAGTTTTCATCTCATTTTATTATTCAATTCTGTACCCCACCTTGGAAGACAAATGGTTTGCCGAATTGGCTACTTATAAACAGCAAATGAGTGAAGATATTGACACCTACCACACAGCAATTCAAGAATTGCTCTGTCAAATAAAGACTGGGCCCAACCATACCTGGAAATAGCTAAAGCCCAGCTCTTCCTGAATGGGCTGCGACCTGACATTGTATTAGTTATTGCCCTATTTACCTCGAATATATTACAGGCAGCATATAATCGAGCTAAGGCTTATGAAAATGCCTGTAAGCAAAATCTTCTATTTATTCCTACCTTCATTAGTGTCTTGTATTCCTCTCAATCCATTCCAAGTATATCTGCTAGCTTCACCCCTCTAGTAACAACTTCTGAGATGGCTATTGATAAGTTAATTGAAGCTGTTAATAAAATGCTAACCCAGTTACAAGAGTGACAAACGTCTACTTCAGGAAACTTTAACAGAGTAGTCTTGGTAGAGCAGGCCATATTAGTTATAATTGTCATGCCACTAATATTCCAAATACCCACCTAATACTCACTAAGATTATTCTCCTCAAAATTAATCATATAACCCTAGACAAACTTCAAATCCCATCATATACTCTTACCCTAATACAAACCTCCAACATACCCACACTTATTAGTTCTAATCCAATCCTTAATGTGGGCATTATAATAATGCTACTACTACTATGAGTAATGTTTCAGAAAACCAGCAGCAAGAGGCTTTATAGGCTTTATTAGCCATGGCTGCAAATTTAGCTTCTGCTGGTTAGCAGAGTAATTCGGATAATACCAACTAACAAAATAATCAGCCATTTTTTCTCAACACTTTTACTGAGGATGCTCCTTACCTTGTTACTAGAATAAAAGATGGTAAGCATGCTGAAAGTTATACACGTCTGCAAAAAAGCCCTAGAGAGGAAATTGGTGATTTAGAATCGAAAAAGGAAGAAACATTAGAACAATTGTTAGATAAAGAAAAAGATAAAGAAAAAGAAAAAGATCATGTAAATAAAGAAAAAGTAGTGAATAAAACTTTAAAAGATCCCACAGCCAAACCCAAGCATGTTTTCCAAATAAGAAGAAAAGTTATGGAAGACGAAATTCCCCAAATCTTTTCATTAGTTTTGCCATATTCTATAATCACAGATTTATATAACAAACCGGCTAACATTACTATCAGTCAGCTTTTACAAGTTGTTCCAGGTATACACACAGAACTTACTCGAAGTCTACAGAAAAAGAAGGCGCCAATAAAAAAAAAACAGAAGGTTAATATTAGTATAACTTCTGCTAGTAAGTCTACTACCTTATACTGTGACGTTACTATTCTTGGAGTAGAGATGCCTATTATAGTAAATAGTGGATTCTCCAGTAGTGTTGTTACCTCTCATTTACTACATGACCTTGGAATTAAAGTTGAACATCCCTCTACCATTAATATGGTAAATGTCCATGGTAAAAGTAAACATGCTCTTGGAGAAATCTCTAATTTTCCTTTTACTGTCACCAGTATAGAAATTCCTATTAACATAGTAGTAACCGATACTAGCTCCTACCATACCATTATTGAAAACAATTGGCTGTCCAAGGTCCAAGCTAAGATAGATTGGACAACTTCTGAAATAATGTTTATCTGGAGTGATAAAGAAATTGTAGTATCTGTCGAATTTAAAAGAATGCCTCCAGCCTCTTTAAATGAAAGTCGCTTTACAAAAGTTAAGAATCTAAAAGAAGGTGAAAAAGAGTCTAAAGATAAATCAAGTAGTAGTAGCGAATATGAGGATGAAGAATTAGAAGAAAGGGTCTATAACTACTCGGCTTGAAAAACGAAGAATACTTATCCAATTTGTCTGAGTCGACTGAATTCAAGAATATTCTAATAATGGCAAAAAAACAAAAATACAAAATTAATATACCGATAGATTGGCCCCCTGAGCCTTTAGTTAAAGTAAATTATAACCCTTTATCATTATTACCTGTTAACTCTAAATTGCCAGAACTTTCAAGCTTCGTAGAATTGCGTCTTATTTCTCTAGTCCTTATTTCTGTAATGGACGATATTAATAACCCTAATAATATCCAACCTATAAATTTATTAATAGATAGTAACAATATTAGTAATATAGATAGTTCTTTTTCTAAGACACAAAAATTTTCTGATAACAATTCTAAAGATGGCAGTAAAGTGAAAACCTCATCAACTATTATCGACAATAAATTCTTTTTATAAGTAAAAAGTATTAAAAATAGTGATAATACTCTAGTACTAAATCCAAGTAATAGAAAAACACCACCTTCTCTATTAAGACAAAATAATCTGTTCTTATCATTTGATAATAATTCTAAAAATCAAACTCAATCCTTTTACTCCAGGGATAATAAGTGACCTGAAATAACCCAAATAACTCAAATGACTAATGACTAGTCATGTGTCATTTCAAAAGGTCAAATGACCTTTAGAGTCATTTAAAATTAATAAAATTTGATTGGTAGATCTTAAGCATTTGAAATAATACTATTGCTATTTAGCTCTAAGTGCATATTAATGAGTCGATATTAGAGGATGCAGTAGAATTTTAATTAATAGCTTAAGTAGTTAGTTATAGCATAAGCTATAATAGTCTAATCAATTGTAGATTATTATTATTATCTAGTTTACTTTATTTTTTTTTTTTTTGATAACCTTACACTAATTTATTAGAGTTTTTGTAATTTACAAAATTAACTATCTAATTATATATATTAGGCAACTACCTAGCTGTTATGAAAGTGCCCAAGTATAGTTATCGCACTGATATTTGCCAACAAGCTCCATATATGGTGCTACCCGTATTTAAAAACCTGCTATAGCATGGTACTCAGCTACCTAAGTTCGAACCGATTATATTTTACCTTCCTTCTAGACTTATTCCACCAATGTTCGAGCAGAATATATTTTCTCCTACTTCTGCATAGCGCAAACATATATGCCAATTTACAAAAAGAAAAAATGAAACAAATAGAAAAAAAGGAAAAAGGAACCTAAACCAATTCTAATATAAATGAAAATAGATGAAACAAGCAGAAAAAAGACAAAATTAAGCGATCTGAATACACTATTATAACCCATGCCAGGTGATTTAAAAATTATATACCAAATGCAATATCTGTATATCTCTGTTGTAAGTCTAAGCTTAACCTTAAAATTCCCCCTGACTCAATTCCGAATCTTTTTAATAATCTAGACTGTATCTCAAACCAAGTGCTGCCATAGTACTAGGATCTGACTCTCCATATACGGCGCTAACGACGACAAGGACGTGACATTTCTGTAAAGGCGCTATTACTTGGGTACTCATATCTCAAGCCACTTGGTGCCGCTACCAGGAATTTCTTTTTTAACTGGGACTTATTCCAGGGTCCGTATAACATATTCGTCTCCAAACACGTGGTTGCTATCTACTAGTCTATCTGGATTTGGTAAGTAAACAATGCAGATCTTTTGGAGGGATAAGCCAAATCCCATGAGAGGTAAAAAGGGACCACTTGAACTTCAAACCAATTTAAGAAGTGTAAGTTTTCTTTTCTGCAGTCAAGACCCACTGCCCAACACCTGCTCAACCTTTTTTTTGGTAAGTGATAAACTCTAGGCTTGTTGGCAGATAGTGTATGAGAACTACCTCTAAACAACAAGTGCTGGAACTATGCAGTGAGTGATAAACTCTAAGCCTGTTGGCAAGTAGCATATGAGAACTACTTCTAAACAACAGGTACTGTCTTACTGTCTAGGTTTTTAGATCAAGTGCCAGCTTGTAAGGTCTTTTCTTGCGGTAAAATCTTTTTCAGAAAATATGGTTTAAGTGATCATCAGAAAGAGTTCCCATATATCTAGTTTACTTTATGTATATTTCTGAATTTAATTATTATGTATTGTTTTTAATACTTAACCTCTTAAAACAAAATATGATTAGTATCAGTAATGAGAACTTATCAGATTTAAAGATTTTAACGGGATTATTTTGAAAAGTATAACAATAATTGCAAATCAAATAATTTTCCCAAAATCTTATAGCAATTCACAAAAATGAACGGGCCTTCTTTACACAAAGATAAGTTACAACCAATAACTCAAGTACTTTATTATTTCCTGCTAATTTATAATTTATAACTTTCTGTTATTTAAAATGAAAAAATTATTTCAACATAAAGCTTAACACAAAAAAATTTTTTTTTAGGGTGACTAATCAACGTTACTTTAAGCAGATAAAAAAAAAAATTTAATATGAATTTAGACTAAATATTAAAAATTATTAAAAAATAAATGAAATAGGTGCTTCCAATGAATCACCAAATAATTTTGTTAAACTCCATTTTGATGACGGGTCCTCTGCTGGATGCGTAATATGTCCATTAATTTCAAATTCAAATTCAAGTTCATCATTATTTATAGTTTCCCCATTGTTTAGACGATTCTCAACATCTAACATGCCAATCCAATTCTCAATAATGTGTGACCAATCTTCTTCTTCTTCAACCATGTCTTCATCGGCTATTTCAAGAGCTTTATTTGGTTTAACTAACATGCTATCAGATATTGATAGATCAATTTCACTATCACTCTCAGAAGATGAAGATTCTGATTCTTGCATCTCATTTTCTCTATTATTATAAGTATAATAAGGTTGAATAGGTGTTACAATATTAATTTACTTGCACTGTTGTTCAGCCTTTTGAATTTCTGTACATTTTCTTTTGCTTAAAATTTCACTACACAATTAACTCATTGCTAGCACTTTATCATACTAAATAGTAATATAAAAATTAAATTAAGATAAATTTAATATGTAAAAAAAAAAAAAAAAATTACTGGTAAATGGTTTCAAGACTTTGTATGTAAATATCCCATAGTTGACTATAAGCATTCCACTGAAGCTGAATTAATACATATACCAAATAGGTGTAATGCAATTGAGATAATTCCGGTGCTAAACCTTTTGACATATCCCAAAAATTAATAATATTTTCATCTAATTGATTATATGCATCTTTATTAAATAGAAATTCTTCCCATTGATATGCCAAAAATTCACGTAAAATACATGTTGGCATTTTTCCAAACCATATATAAAAATAATAATTAACTATCACACAAAGTGAGTATAGGAGAAAATTTTGTAAGCCGATATTTCAGATATAAAATAAATGCTAGCAAAAGTAAGGGTCGCTCCCACTGTGCCCACCAATTTTCTATGCATGCTACTATATACTCAGAAAAACTTTCATTTTTATGATTTGCAAAGATTTTGATTAGCCATCCGAAACAGTGTACAACATCATGTAGTCTTGCGACATCTTTTTGAAGTTTATTTAGCACACCACACAAAGAAAATAATAAATCTTGAAGCTCATAAAGTTGATTTCAAAAATTAGAATTTTGTAAAATTAAAATAACATCATGTGGAAGTACCTTGCTTGTATTAGTATCTTCGGCTATAAATCTTTGTCGTGAAAGTCCACTTCGTGAAATACTAGTTGTTCCGATTCTTACAGGTAAAAGTTTTGTAGCCAATGTTTAATAATAGGAATTTTAATTTTACTACTAGTTAAGATTTTATAAAACTATTAACTAGTGTATTTATTAATTACTTACTTTAAGTGCAGCCTCAGTTTTTGAGATTGAATAAAAGCAAAAATAAAAACTATTCCACCTTGTTTTAGCTGGGGTAACAAGAAAAATAGTTTGTTTATAGCATGACATTTGCTCATTTCGCAATAATCCAGTAAAATATGTAGATGAGTGAAAAAAACTTACAATGTGTATTGCATTTTTTAACATTTTCTTATATTCATTAGATTCTTTAAAAACATCGCCAATAACTAAGTTAAGTTGATGTGCCATACAAAGCATAAAAATTTTATCCGGATATTCAATACTTAATTGGCGTCTATAAATTAAATTAAGTTATTATAATATTTAAAATATATAGTAAATATTTAAGCTTACCTTGCAGCTGCAAACTCACTAGCTGAGTCAGATACATAACAATTTATCTTTATATTACTTTCTTCGGCATTATCCATTATGCTTTTAATATGAAATTTTGTATTTTCTGTTTTTGATCGTTGATCACTAATATCTCACGCATTTCAAATCAAAGGTTTACCTTTTGAAGTAATCAAAACTACACCAAAAAGGTGTTCATGATTTATGTTTGTGCAGCCATCAAAGGCTGCTGTTACTCCAATTTTATCTTCGCATGCATACTATAAGATTTCTTTATTTATGTTTATAGAAATTTTTGGGAGAATCTGATTACTTACTGCACGACGATTAGGAAGTTTTAAACTTCGCATAATAAACTTAAAAATATCTTGAGTTTCCTGATTTTCTATGAAAGTAAATGGTAAACTATTTGATACAATCATGCATAATACCAGGTTTTCAAAATGTACTTTATCATTATCAGATAGTGGACATGAGATTAAATTGGAAAGTATTAACTGCTTTTTGATACTCAAATTAGATTTGTTAGCAGTTACTGATATCTCGAAAGTCTCATTTTCAGGCCCAGAATTGCTTTCAACATCTGTAATTTTATTAAAATACATATTATTTATAATAAACAATTATTTAAATATATAGATTTAATATAATTACCTTTTTTACCTTTTTTTTTAGGGTCTTCTGGAACTGATCATGCAACAATTTCTGTAGCTTCACTCTCATTATATTCTGCATGAAAATTTTCACAATTTCGAAGATGATTTCAACACAGTTTCACCTTATTAGACACATGGCATTCAGGATTTGTAATAACAACTGATAAAGTATGCTTTTACACACATGAAAGGCAAACTGCCTTTTTGTTTGCTTTTGGGTTATTGGGAGTACCCAAATAAAAAAATTCTTGAAAATTGTGTTTTTTTTTGGCCATAATAAAGTTTAAGGTAATGTATAAATATAAGTATAAGTAGTGCAAAATCTGTTCTTTATATACTAAAATTAGAGATGTAATAATAATAGCTATTTCTTTGTTTGCAATGCTTTATCGAACAAGTATCTATTAGCTGTCTATTACTGTTAGGTAATGTTTCTTTTTTTTTTTTTTTTTTTGTATTACTAATTTAATTCTTTAGCAACTCATACTATCGCTATTATAAAATTTTCTTGAGCTTATGCTTACATCTATATAAAAAACCTGATTGCACTGTTTTACAGAAATTCTAATATTATTATAAATGTATTTCTTTATATTAAATTCTGATTCATTCTTGAGGTTTTATACTATTGCATTAATAAAATAATTGTATTACTCTTTTTTAATTAGTACATTTATAAAATTTATTAATATTAATACTCACATTTTTGCATGATTTACCACTTCTTGTTTATTCTCATATAAGCCTTCAAGAAACTTCCCACACATCTTATTATTATTTAACCTCACATACGCACTTTATATTTGTATTGGGTAAAAGAATCAATTTCTTATTTATTGCAATTCTTTATACCCTTTATATATATATACATTTTATGCATCATTTGATATTATGCACATATTAAATAAACATGCATTTATCTTCATCTGATTTTAATTAATAAGGCTAATTGTTAACTAATTATGTCATCATAATGTTGCATGAATCATTAAATGTTATTTTTGCCTATACAGAATAACTCATGATCATAATGACCTTGGTTATTTGTAAATGACCTATGTTATTTGGCTATAAGGTCATTTGCAAATGATTAAAATCTAAATGACATAAAATAATGGTTATTTAGAGGTCATTTGAGGTTATTTAGAAAATAATCAAATAACCAGGTCATTTACCATCCCTGTTTTACTCTACGAATACTTTTCAAATTACTAATAAGAATAAAATAGTGTTCCCTTTTATTAGTGTTCCTAGTGGGGTTCCTCCGGTAATATTTCTTGAAGAAGAATCTGACGAATCAAGTGATTCAAATTTCAAGTGGTATAGTTTAGCATAGAAAAATAAAACTTCCGAATAGAAGTTTACAGAAAACGATTCAGATGCCAATAATATTATCAACAAAGCCAGAAGATGGCTTAAACTGAACAAAGAAAAAAACAAACTCACTATAGTGCAATGTTTGTACGATCTCGCTAGTAATGCATACCTGCAAGAAAGTCCTATTAGATTTGATAGTCGAAATTATATTTCCAAGAGAACTATTGAAAAGGAAGAAACAGAGATTAGAGATTTGTTCGATTACTACTATAGAGAAGAATTAAACAAAAAGAACACTTATCAAATAGAAGAACTTGATCTAGATTAGTACCTATAGTTATATAGTTTTTTAGAATGAAATTCAAGTCTATTTGCCTGAGAAGGTGAAAAGACAGGGTGAACTAACATTGTCAACCATTACATTAATACCGGTAGTGCCCTACTTACTAAAAAGAACCCATACTGTTACTCTCCTGCAGAAAAAAAAATCATTAAAGAAGAAATCGGCCTAATGATTAAAGAAGATATAATATGTCCCTGATAAAGTCCTTGGACATCCCCTGTTGTTTTAGTGCTGAAAAAAAACGGTCAAACACGATTTTGCATAGATTATAGGAAATTAAATTCTGTAACCCAAAGGGATAATTACTCTTACCTTGAATCTAAGACCTCCTCGATGCGTTAAGTGGGTCCTCGTAGTACAGTTCCCTCAACCTTGCCAGTGGGTACTGGCAAGTCGAGACAGAAGAAGCAGATAAAATTAAAACCGCTTTTACCACTCCTTTTGGAGTTTATATATTTAACGTTATGCTCTTTGGGCTAACAAACGCTCCGGCTACTTTCCAATGGCTAATGGACTATTTATTCCAAGATTTAATTGAAGAATGTATTATTGTTTACCTAGATAATATAAACATATATTCTAAAACCTTTGACAAACACTTATATCATTTAAGACTCATTTTTGATCAATTAAAACAGGCTGGCTTAAAATTAAAGTCATCTAAATGTTATTTTGGGCGGCATCAAATAAAATTTTTGGGCCATACTGTAAGTAGAAAAGGTATAGCCACCAATCCTCAAAAGGTTGAAGCCATAAAAAAATTTCCCATCCCTAAAAATTTAAAACAATTAAGAGAATTTTTAGGACTGGCGTCCTACTACTAGAAATTCATTAAAAACTTCACTCAATTAGCTGCCCTTTTACCGCTGTTTTCGAAATGGTTGAGAATAGCAGGATCTACAAAAAAAAATTTTTTTTGACGAATACTCGAATACTCGAATACTCGATTAGTTAAGAACTTAGATCGACGATCGATTCCCGATTTATGTAATTGTTATATTAAACAATTACAGAATTACAACTAGCTTATACGTAGCGATAGTGCTTTTTATTTTTGGCAGCTGTTTATGTTCTGCGACTCTAACTAATTTTTTTTTTTATACACTTTGACTTTTAAACAGTAAACTGCCTTTGTTATTGTGGTCTCGAAAGGGGGTGTTTTTTATGCAAAGATTCCGTTACTTTTGAAATCCATTAAGTCAAACAAAGATCCACTCTTCGAAGTCAAAAAATAGTCTTTCCAGATTGAGTTAAGTAGTGAATTTTTTTTAAAAAAAACTAATATCTTTTGATTCAATAATGGCATATTTTGAATTTTTGACCCGGCTTAAAATAGAATTTTGAACTACTTTATAGTAAAGCATAAGTTGGAGAAACAACAGTATGGGTAACTAATTTTTTTTTATACACTTACAACAAAAGCATACTGATAAATAACTGCTTATTTTAACTTTAAACAGTAAACTGTCTTAATTTACTGTAGGTAAGTTTTTGTTCCTGCTTCTCGAAAGGGGGTGTTTTCTATGCAAAGATTCTGTTACTTTTGGATTCTGTTGAATCCAACAAAGATCCACTTTTTGAAGTCAAAAAATAGTCTTTCCAGATTGAGTAAAGTAATGAAATTTTTTTTTAAAAAACTAATCACTTTTGACTTTTGGAGTGCTATCAACTTTTCGTATAGCATCCAACAGAGTCACTAAATATATAGAACCAAATCCTCTGATTTTTTAATATCGGATAATTTATCTCAATCGCATCTCCATATTTAAAGATTCTGGGTTGAAATACTTTCATACAATTGTCAACATTCTTACCTCTACTTGTCCATTACGTTACTATATCAGAGGCACATATCAGTTATTATTCTTCATTCATTGAAGGTTATGAACAATCGGACGTAATTATCCTCGCATTTATTGGACATTTTTATTGAAGCATCCAATGGGTTTGTTGATTTTTATTTTAGAGGTACTAAAGTATTTTTATTCATAAATTTAGGGTTTGTCTACAACGTAGTTTATTTTCAGGACTAGTGTTTGGATCTGGATATCTAACTGGATATCCGGATAGATATCCTGTTTTAATTCTCTTAATCTGGATTTGTAAATGGATATTAATAAATTATCTGGTTTTTAATCCGGTTTATATCCAGTTATAATATATCATTATGGCGAATTTATGTCACCCAATCCTTGTTAAAATATAATCAATTAAAAATTAGATTCGTACCCTGAATTAGAATCTAGAAGCAGGTTATCCCATTCTAGAATCCTTAAGCAGGTTGACCGGCTTATGAAATAAGATTAAGTTAGAATTAATATATTAATTAATTATATATTCTTAAGCCAGGTAACTTAATCAGATAGCTCTATTCTGAATTATGGCAACTGGGTTTGAATTAGGTGGATTTCAATTAGAAGTAAAACACGTATTTAGACTATGGAACTTATAATAATTTAGTTATATATGTATATTAAATAGAGGTACTATAGAAACTATAGTATAAAAACAGTTTTTACTACGCTTTAATATTATTTTTTTCGATTATTATATTATTACCTTTGCAAAATAATAGATGAAATTACTTAAAAAAACAACGATTCAAAATCAAAGTCATGTTGAAGTTCTCTGATTGGCTAATAACGATTGACATATAATATCCAGATAAAAAATCGGATTTATAAATACAAAATAAAAATCTGGATTTATTATCCTCTTATCAAAAATAATATCTGTTATCCTTTTTATATCCGGATACATCCGGATTTTGTAATCCGGATACATCCGGATTTTGTAATCCGGATTCAAGCACTATTCAGGACTACGAATATTGCATTTTTATCATTAACTTAATGGTGTTAAATGCTTATATTAAATTCAATATGCTTTTGTTTTTTGTAGTGCACAATTATGACATTTTTAGAAGAGTCAGTGATCATAATAAGTATCAATATTGTATTGGGTTCTGCTTTTTATAATGCACAATTGTAAAGTTGGTGATCATAATAAATATATTAATACTGTTGTATTAGGTTTAGTTTTTTTCAGTGTGATAGCATATAACACAATTATGTCTCTTTAACTAATTTAATAAACAATAAATGTTGTATTGAGCTCCTGACCCTTATGTGTGGATTTAAGCATGATAGCATATGACAATTGTTATGTCTTTAGTCTTTATTTTCGTGAATATTTAAACATCAATTTGTAAAAAAAAAAA